CAAGCAAAATGTTGGAATCACTTTAAGTTGATTTCAACGGGAAAAGTCGTTGATGGCCTTGCAGAATCTAAAGCAGTATGTAAATATTGCCAACAAAGATTGACATGGTAAAAAGGAATTGGTACCACTCATCTCAACCGCCACTACTAAATCATGTGCAGCCAGACATGGATTTCTTCCAACTGGTCAAACACAATTACAATTTGACAGTCCAAGCGTCGGCTCTACAACTTTACCCCTATCCACGTGGGTGTATTCGAAAGATGATACTCGAACCGGAATGGTGAAATTTGTTGCTGTCACTGAGTTGCCTCTGGCTATTGTAGGCAACCGCTATTGTAGGCAACCAACACTTCGTCTCGTTCGTGAAAGAATATCTACAACCGAAGTACGTTGAGGTAAGTCGAAACACTTTTCGTGCCGATACAATAAATTATTTCAATAATTCAAAACAACAATTAATTATGGATTTGCAATAATATGGGGGGTGTTATATCCTTAACTTCTAATATATGAGAAGGGGTTAATAAAAGAACATATATAACTGCAACCGCACACTATATAGACCCACTTTGGTGCATGCATAAGAAAATTATTGCTTTTATAATTATTGAATTTCCTCACAATGCTAATAATATATATAATGCTATTATCAGTATTGTTAGAGAATATCATTGTGAGACTAAAATTCGATCTTTTACTTTTGATAATGCTAGTGTTAATAAGATAGTCGTCGATAAATTGTGTAGGACACTTCAACCTGATTTTGGTGGGTATTTGTTTCATATTCGTTGTGTGTGTCATATCTTGAATTTAATTGTGCAAAGATAGTTTAAAATATATAAATAATGAACTTCAAATGATTAGGAATGCATTAGTATATATTACGATCTCTCCTAATATAAAACAAGTATTTGAAGATTTTTGTGCCGAATTAGGAGTGATGACTGCTAAAACATTTGTTGGCGACGTAGGTCATAGATGGAACTCTACATACTTGCTATTAAAATCATGTGAAGGTTTCAAAAATTTAATAACTGACTTTTATAACAATGGACATGTTAGAAGTGATGACGATGGTATGTTAAATGAATCCGATTGGATTTTAGTTTTGAAAGTTAAACGATTTTTGACATCTTTTTATGAGACCACAAAAATTTTATCCAGCGTTTATTATCCCACAAACTGTATGATGCTTGAACACCTTTATATAATTGCAAGAACATTCCATAAATATAAAAATGATCCTGTTTTTAGTGAAATTTTAATTACTATGAAATTAAAATTTAGAAAATATTGGGAAGAACTACCTATATTATTTCCTTTAGCATGCACAATGGATCCCCGAAATAATATTTCGGGAACTAAATATGTAATTGATCAGATCAATAAAGCTTTAATACTTGATACACCTATCACCTATAAGAATTTAGAGCAAACATTATGTGGAATGTATGATTTATATGCGGAAAGAATGAGTGCGAATGTTAGTCGGGTACCCTCTACTGCACCTACTCCTTCTGCTGAAACTGAAGAAGATGCTGCGGAAATAATGAATTCATTCAGGGTATTAATACATTTAGATATGATGCAACTGCAATGTGTTCATTTAGTGTCATGTCGTCTACATCCGCATCTCATCAAACATCGGCCGAAATTTAAAATACGATGCCAGCCGAATTAATTAATTATTTCAATCATAATATGCCAACAGATAGAACAATTAAAAAAACTTCAGAAGAAGTAATTGAATTATGGCGAAAGTATGAAAGATATTGGCCAATTGTTTCTGGAATTACGAAAGATCTATTGACACATCCGGTTAGCACTGTTGCTTCGGAGTCTACTTTTAGTGCAGGTAAAAGAGTTTTGACCGATGTCAGGAGTCGACTGAAAGAAGATGTTTTGAAAGTGTTAATGTATGTGAAGGATTGGCAGGATGCTCATTTTCGACTACAAGATAAATACGCTGAAATTGCTTGTCGTCGGCTAAGTGATATTTGATTTAATTATATTAATCATAATTTTTTTTAATCGTTAAATTTAATTTTCTTTAAAAAATTGTACACGTTACAACAAGTTGTTCGTGTATAATTTTTAACTCCGCCTACTTAAAATTGATGTAGCCAGTCCCAAACCCGGATAAAGGAGGAGGGTTTACATTTTATTAACTTTAAAAAGAAATCAAAAAAATATATTTTTTGTAAATGTATTTCAAAAAATAATTCCTTTTCATTATATAAATATTTTATAATTTATAAAAAGTATTACAAATTAAAATATGATATAAATAAAAAAAAATAAAAACTTTTTTTCATTAAATTATTTGTATTTATTAACACTTTTTATTTTTAAAACTCTATTCTTTATTAACTTTAAAAAGAAATCAAAAAAATATATTTTTTGTAAATGTATTTCAAAAAATAATTCATTTTCATTATATAAATATTTTATACTTTATAAAAAGTATTACAAATTACAATATGATATAAATAAAAAAAATAAAAACTTGTTTTCGTTAAATTATTTGTATTTTTTAACACTTTTTATTTTTAAAACTCTATTCTTTATTAAAAAAAATAGACGAGCCCACGAGCCGAAGCTCGGCTCGACCCATGAGCTCGGACGAGCCACGAGCTTGTGGGCCGAGCTCGAGCTCGAGCCCGAGCCCAGCTCGTTGAAAATGAGCCACGAGCACGAGCGGAGCTCGTGGCGGCTCGGCCCATTGCCAACCCTAATCACCACCCATGAAAAAAAGTTGTGGATATCATACAATTTACAAAATGATTTTCCAAAAGGCTCTCCTGGACAAGCTTTAAAACTAAAAGATATATTCAAGAAAAAATCTTAAAGTTTGTTAATTATCTATTCAGTTAAGTATTGAGAATACAAAGTGTACAAATAGTTTTAACAAGTTACTCTTGAACATAAATAAAATTCAATCAAATAAAGTGAAACTAATATTTGTAAACATGCGTAGTTAAAAACAAAATAAAAAATTGAATTCCCCTCGTATCGCATCCTAGACGTTCCAGTCTAACCTAGTCACTTTTGTATTTCATCCATTCTCCTCTCTAAGCCCTCTTTTCCCTCGGACCCAAACGTCAACGTGAGGGAAGACTCAAACGTCATATAGACCTATTAAAATGGTTGGACATACACGAGTCCCAAAATCGAGAGACTTTCCCACCGCCGCCCCAGCACAAGCATTTGCTCATTCGAGTGCATTTTAAAAGACTCTTTAAACTCAAAATATTCTTTATTTTAAAGAATCAATACTTAAAAATGAGCTATAGAAGACTTTCTATTTTAACTTTTTAAAATAGAGCGTGTGTGACTCTTCAAATTTAGCCCCCATTTTCCAAAAAAGAAAATAGATGTAATAGTATTTTTTTGAAAAATAAGTGATTGAAAAAGAAGAAAAATTTTTGATTTACGTATAATATTATTTTATGAAAGATTGTGTGGTTGAAAATGGGAGAGAAAAAAACGAAATGTAATCTAATGAAAATTAATGTAGGCCAAACAGAGGCTTAGAGAGTGAAACTCACTATATATTCTTAATTTACAATAATTGCATTTAATACTTTATAAATTTCAATACTCTACAATTTAAAATTTTCAAATTACATTTGAATTGATTAATCATTTATATATAAAAAATTATACTTAAATAAAATATGTGTAGAAATTTAAAATGTTTATTGGGAAAAAGAAGAAGAAGCAAGTTTGAACCCCATTTTGTTCAAAAACTGCATTTTAAAATAGTGATTTGATCGAAAATATGTGGTTAAAAAATAATGAAAATTTTTGAATTTGTGTGTAATATTATATTATTGAATAATGCGTTGTTGAAAATAAGAAAGAGAAAAATGTATTTTTAAAATAATGGGTACCAAACAAACTTAAAATAAAGAATCAAAGTAGAGAATTTGTTGCTGTGTATAAAAATAAAATTACCCTTTAAATTTAAAAATACTCTCTATTATGCATAAAATACTCTTCATAAATAGAATGTCTTTTGAAGATGTCATATTGCTTAGAATATAGATTTTAGTTTAAATCAGAATCAATAATTAATTTTAATCATATATTTTATGAGTCTCACAAATTTTCGATAAATTTAAAAATACTCTCTATTATGCATAAAATACTCTTCATAAATAGAATGTCTTTTGAAGATGTCATATTGCTTAGAATATAGATTTTAGTTTAAATCAGAATCAATAATTAATTTTAATCATATATTTTATGAGTCTCACAAATTTTCGACACATTTTATCAACTTTTATTAAAATCTATTAATAATCTAATTTTAATTCCCATCAAATAGAAACAAATGTTATTTCATCCGTTCCATTTATATAGACTTCTTTTGTTTTTCATAGGAATTAAGAAATCTAATTTAATATTATTGAAAAAGCAATTTTTGTCAATAACTTTTCTAGTTTATCCTTATTTATATTTGTACAACTTTAAGATTTAGTAAAAAAAATTGTTATAACTAGATAAATTAAATAAAGATGTATTAGTAAATGAACAGAACAAAACAAGTTAAATAAAAAAATATTACTATATAATTGGGAAAAGAAAAAAGAAAAAAAAAATTAAGCCTATTCCCAAATAACAAGCAGACCCGCATTGAGATATTTCCCTAGGTCCCACGAAAAAACGTCACCATGCCCCGCCCCGCCCCCAAACACACACATACACCCTCAGGGCATCCAAAATTTTCCTCCCCCCAAATTCCAAACCTTCTCTCACCCCCAAATTTAAATTCCACCTCTCATCCAAGCCTCAACTTTTCGCCACGTCATCGAAAACCTAGATCCGAGCCGTCCGTGACAGGTGGCCAGGTCAATAGATTGGGCAGCGGTGGAATTCATCCTAACCGTTTGATGAGAAATAAACGGCATCAGATCTGCCCGCAACAGAAATGGGCAGATCTCGTTCGCCTTTAAGAGGAGGTGGTGTCCTGCACTTCCCCTCATCAAAATCACAGAGAGGGTCTGGAAAACCCTCGCCCCTATATTTTCCTTTATTTCTATTTTGCCCTAAAATTTTCCTTCGTCTTTCTTCCGGCCGATGGCGGTGTAGTTTTCCGATGGATTCTCTTCGGAGATAGTCCGCCGCAATCTAATCCCAAAATTCTAATTTTTTCCGTCATTACACATACATGGCATCAGCCGTTTTGGCGAGTCAGAATGAAGGCTATTGGGGTGAAAGAAATGTTTACATGAAGAAATATAATAGTACTACACCTCCTCTCGCCACCCAGTTGAATCCAAACCATATTATCAATCCGATTCTCACCCCAATTCCAAACCCCAAGCCTAACTCTAGTTTCAGACAGATCCATGAAGCCTCACCTAAACCTCATGTCCGACATACCAATGATCCATCTACGAGGCCTGTTACGCCGCCGGCTTCGTCAGATAAACAACAGCCAGCGTACGCATATAAGCCCATTTCTGTCCATGGCGAGTATATGATGTATAATCTGAATATGTTTTCTAGAAGAGAGAAGAAAGAGCTCAAAAAGCGCTTGTTCTCGGATCTAGATCGGGTCAGGAGCCTTTTGAACCAGATTGAGTCTCGAGACCATGGGGTTCGTCCCAGTATCCCGTTTTGGCCAACTATGGTTCAACCAAATTCCCTTGCGGTGGAGGCTCTGAGTCAGAAGCAGACAATGAAAGTCACAGGGAAGAACAGTGGGAAGAAAAATTTGGGGAAAAAGCGAGGAGCAGGGGCACACTCATTTCCCTATGACAGAAAGCCAAAGCGGCCTTCCGTGGTTTCTAACTTATCAGTGAACAAGGTTCATAGTAGCATGATGAAGAGGTGTCGTCAGATTTTGACGAAATTGATGAAGCACAGACATGGCTGGGTTTTCAACACTCCTGTTGACGTCAAGGGTTTAGGGCTCCACGATTACTATCTAATTATCAAGAGTCCGATGGACCTTGGTACTGTGAAATTTCGGGTGGAAAAGAATGTGTATGAAAGCCCGATGGATTTTGCAGCTGATGTGAGGCAGACGTTCAACAATGCTATGATCTACAATCCTAAAGGCCAAGATGTGCACATCATGGCAGTGACTTTACTCAACCTGTTTGAAGAGATGTTTAACCAAGCGTGTAAGAAGTATGAGGCGGAACAGAGGAAGATCAGTGTTGCTGCAGCAGAGCAATTGAATCATCAAAAAAAATTTCCTGAATTAGAACATCTTTCGTTACACAGACGTTCGGATGAATCAATATTGATGGCTAAAACATCTGATATAATGCGGCCACAATTGAAATTGCAGATTCCATCTCAAGTGCAGAATGTTAAGTCCCCTGTTTCGGTGCCTCCTCCTCTGCAACCAATCGCTAGGTCAGGGAAGTTGCCGAAGCCAAAAGCAAAGGATCCCTACAAGAGGGATATGACTTCTGAGGAGAAGCAAAAATTGGGGGCTTTGTTGCAGGAGTTGCCTTCTGAGAAATTGGGTCAAATGATTGAAATTGTAAAAAGGAGGACTTCAAATTTGCTACAGGAGGGAGATGAGATTGAGGTTGATATTGAAATTCTAGACAATGAAACATTGTGGGAACTTGATAGATTTGTAGGATATCACAAGAAAGCTGTAAGCAAGTTTCAGAGGCAAATGCTTTTCCAAGAGGCAACTCCTGCAGAACAGATCCTTGCCCAGGTAGTGGTTTGCATCACTATAATCTGACTTTTTTCCATATGTTTGCTGTTAGTTTTGACTGATAATAGTTTTCTTTTTGTGGACAGCATTCGCCAAGAGATGAGCCTGTGGAGATTGAGGGGCAACAGATGAAGAAAGATGATGTGGTTGGGGAGGAGGATGTTGATATAGGAGAGGAGATTCCTGTAAATAATTTCCCCCCTGTGGAGATTGAGAGGGATGCTGTTGGTGCTGGTAATGAATCAAGCGGTTCTAGTAGCTCCAGTTCTGGCAGTGATTCCTCCTCTTCCAGTGGTATGAACTCTATGCAAAATAATTTTAGTAGAGATTACTATGTAATTGATGTTTCTCTTTTTGGTGTTTTACATGTATTATATTTGATTTTGCAGATTCAGATTCCGAGAGTTCTACCGGCAGTGATTCTGATGAGGATAGTGTACAATCACCTTTTGTTGTAGACAAAGATAACCCGTGCTAAGCGAGGAAAGAGCTGGAAGTGTTTGCAGATATTTGTGTGTGGTTTTGATTTCTTCTGGATGATGATGAAGAGTTAACGTGGATGGTTGATTTCTTGTGGTGCTCATGGGGTTTCTTTGCCTTGTTTCTGTTTGTTAGAAGAGAAGCTATGTGGTTCTTGGTTTGTATTTTGATTGTTGCAGATATGGAAGTGTAAAGAGAATGACAAGCATTAGAGTAGTGTAGTGAGGTAAAATCTGAAGAATTTTTGTTATAAACAGATGTCTTCTAATATTAGGGTGCTAGATGGATGGTAAATTGCAGGGAGTTAGGTTTTGGTACCATTTTAAGCGTTGTATACAGAAAATCAGCTCAAGATTTTCAAAGTAGAAGTAGAACAGCAGTAAAAATGTACAGTATAGTCAGTTGTGGGAAATGCAAGGGAAATTCTGATGTCTCTTTGGACTCGATGAATGACAGGATCTTTTTCCCTGCACTCCTAAATATGATTTTCAATATCACTAATATGCAAGTTTGTTAAATTACCTCGGCAGGCTCTTTTACATTATTTTGCCAACCGCAAAGCCCAAAATGTTAGACCTGCACACAATAAGCATGGACCTTTACATAAAACTATTTATATATTAGAAGATAAATAATCAAATTAATTAATAAGATAGCGATTGACTAGAACATCGTGATGCCATGAAAAAAGATTTAGAAGAATAGAGGTTACATGACCACCACAAATTACTCGGTACATAACACTTTGCCAACGCATAAAGTAATCAGATACAAAGCATGTGACCTGTAAATGTCTTGGCATCATGGATGACTCGTTGATGAAAATCAATTTTCCTTGGTTACAAGCTAATACCAGCGACTTTATTTCAAGGAAAGCACAGAAGATGACATTCTCCCAAGTAGAAATTTTTTACATCAAATCAGTTGGCCTTCTTCATCAAATAATAGAATAATTTATGCAATCAGACTGACCGAACAAAACTTATATTCAAAATTCGAACAACAAAACACTAAATTGGACAAAAATTAGAATAATCAGCTCAAGAGTCCCAACTTTGCATTCATTAACAACAAAACAAGAGTAAAAAATCACACTACCATGTATGAAATACATAGATGCCAAAGGAGAAAATAATAAAAGATACCGCTGTAGTGCACATGTAGAAAGAAGGGAACTGGTGCAGATTTGTAAACAAAATACTGAGTTCTCAAGGGCATTGCAAGTTGGTATTTCTGTTAAGTGGATTTAACTGCAGAAGACCATTTAAAATATGATCAAAACAATGGCGCAACATGCATTTCTATTGACTGAACCTAGATAAAAAGTTGGAAACCCTTCCAGGAAAAAAAAAAGAAAGAAAAAAAGAAGCAAATGGCAGAGAGTGAAAATGACAAGAAGAGAAGTCTTTAGTCAAATTCCAACCAGGCAAGATCTCCAAGCTTTTCCTCAAATGTTCGGTACAAATTTTCAGTCAGAGAAATGAGATTCAAAGATATTTATAGTGGGAAGTTTAACTAGCAAGAATGTCAATTAAAAAAAAAAAAAATGCCTCTTTATTTTCCTATCATTTCACCGAATTATATTTAATTCTTTTAAGCACTACAAGAATCCAATCTATGGGAGCCAAAGGTACTGACAAATAACTGAAAAGCTAAGAGCATAAGTGAGTAACAATATAGACTAATGTTATGTAGCAATATTGGTGCTAAGCACCTGTCTAGGTGGCATTCAAGTTGTATGAATTGGTAATCTTATTCTAGAAACATGGGTCCTATTTAAGATGTCTTATCGCTTGAATGCCACATAGAATGGTGCTATAGCACCAGTGGTGCTTCATATCATTATTCAAAAAATACAAAATTGACTAGAGAGCACAGACACATGATTTGAATAAATGCACATTTTTCCATCTTCACATATGAAAAAAGTGCTGAGCTTGCATCATCCTCACTCAATTCATTCCATAAGATAAAGTATATGCCATGTTCCACACTTTCATTATTGTCTTCTCTAATTCTTGTGCAGATTCATGGGGGCTAATACTCAATAGGCTATAAGTTGGAGATTCCTTTAAAACTTCATCTTGGTCCACCCAAGGGAAATAGATTTCAACAATTCTATTGGCTAAGGAAAGACTAGATGTTCAGCAGTCCTACATCTTCTAAGGAACCTAGATAATTTCTTTGCTACATGATAAATGTCAGTAGTTCAACAAGCACTTGCATTAGCCACCCACCAATTTTACAAGGCTATCATCTCTGTCATTTGCACATTCACAATGGGTAAGCAAGATTAGTTATTTAAATAAAAAATTTCCCTTACCCAATGAACATTGCTTCCAAATATTACATATAATATGAGTGCCAGGTCAAAGCTTCTGATTAAAATTTGATTTTCCAATTACATGTGAATCTGATGGAAAAATTACTCAAACTTTAAACATCTAAAGCATGACAACCATTATGTTTGTCCACAGTACTTGCACTATGAATAGCTCTTAAAGCATGTGCATAAAACAATAGACAGCAGAAGTTCCTTTTACACCTGGCTCGACAAGAATGTATCTCTCTTGTACTAAAATATATTAAAGCAAACAAAGGAGGATTAAATTTAAACTAAACATAACAGAAACTTAATAAACGTAGAGAAGAGAGAATATTATCAGCCCCTATGGAAGTTACAATGTAAGAAGAAAGAGTTCTATATGTTCTCTCAGCCCACCATTGAGCCTATGCATCGAAAAGCTTCGCTCAATGTGAACAATGGCCAATATAATCAGGAATCAAGAGAAAATGAATCTTGTGAAAAGCGAGTCTATGTATCTAAACAGATCAATACTGTGTTAGTGAAACTGTAATATGATTACCATAATATTACAGAATATTACTCTTATGATAATGGGTAAAAACACGATTAGCAAAAGAAAACCGAGTAATTCCTCCCAACATGTTTAACCAAGTAATTCCTTCTAACATGTTTTGAAAACTGGAAGAATATTTACTAGAATGCAGCTTATAAGAAGGAACATATAACATCTTGATTAATCAATCTTTGCTCAAGCATCTTTACTTAGTACTCCGTGTAATAACTTCCAAAATTCCAACAGGTACGGTTGGACAAATTTAGGGAGACACCTGTAACTACCTTTAGAACTTAGAGGTCTTGAGGAAAATCGACAAACGGGTATCCTTGACAAATATGTAACTTTTACAGTTAGACAATTCAATTGTATTGATGAGCTGGTCATCAAGTCAATTTTTGTATATAAATAAATTAGTGCTCCTTAAGATGTACATGCTTAATGTTCAAATACCAAAGAGACAACCTACATCTCAACAGTGCTAAATTAAACAAGATCTAACGCTTTTACACTGATAAAAATGTGAAGGGCAACATTTAATATGAATTTGACCAGATCCAAAAAATCGAATAAGCATCCTAGCTCAAAAACAGAATTCACAAATTCAATTTAAAAATTGAACATTTAAGAGATTCAAAATGCTATGAGCAGAGGCAGAAATTAATACCTAAAATCTCTCGCTGCATCTGCACAACGATGCTGAAGAAACATAGGAGCAACTCATCAATTATCGTTGAATAAATAGTAACCAAACACAACAAAGGTTAAAGGTGCGTGCGGGGTGGGGTTGGATTTGCTTGAACCTGCAACCTAAAATAGCAATAATTGCGCAACCTGTTGAGATTTGATATATAAATATATTCAGAAGAATCGAAAAAGATAAATCAATTTACTAGCGAGAGAGAGGCTAATTAGAATTTGACAGTGGAAAAAGGCATTGAATGAATGAGTGAATGAATCACAACACGACAGAGTTGGAATATGTTCAGACTTTCCGTCTCGAGAGAAAATAACCCCCACGCCACGCACCCACTACTTCCCTACCATTCTCTATCAATAGGTATTAATAAGAACGTATTTATGAAAGAATTGACGAATATTTGCCATTTTTCTGTTACAAAAAAGGCTGAATGGAGGAGGTTATTTATTCATTTCTTGTCCGGAGATTCTTGTGGAATAAAGTTATGGAAAATGAGAAAATTATTTGTTTACAGATGATTTAAATCTAATTTAATCACAAATATTTCCCCATTGTTAATTGCCACGTCGAAT